CCATGCATTGCAGTTTGTCACTCATCATCTAGATTGTCACCTGGGAGTAGCAGCAAGGGTAGAGTCTGCTGTGCAGCCTTGTTCAAGCCACTTAGCCTATCTGAAAAGGTAAAATTGTGTTTTCTAGGTTGTTGACAAGATGAAGTACAGAAACTGAGTCAAACAGGATTAGGGAGAAATGCAAGGGGTGGGCTCAGCACAAGGTTCAGGAGGGTCTGGAGAGCTTCAGGCACAGTTGGATCCAGGGGCTCATGCACTGTCATCAAGACTCAGCCTGTCCATCCTGTGTTTTCTTCTGTACCAGCTCCATTCATAGGCAGCTGCTGTGTGTGGTGGCACACACTCCTGTCCTGTACTTTCAGCAGTCCCAGTTGTGAACCAACTCTTCTCTGCCCAGTGGCTTTCCCCAAAGTCCCAAACTGCAGCTCCTCAATTGGCTGGGTACTCTTCCCTGTACCAATCACTATGGCTGGCCTGCAGACAATGGGCTCTGATTGGTTGGCCTTCAGTTACATGCCCACCCCTGGGGGCAGAGCATTTGGAGGTAGGATTCCTAAGGACACCAGGAGGTTGGCGTTAGAAGGAAGGGCCAGGATCAGACACTGCAGCCTGGCTACAGGCCCTTGAAAGCAGGCCTTGATCACGTAGGTTCCCAGACCCTATGACAGTGCCTGACACTTGGTGTCAGTACTGTGGGAACACAGGTGGGGTGAGAACAGGAAGTGGCAGTCACTGGATGCATCCCAGCCCCTCCCACCTCCTTCCTGGAGGCTACAGAGGAATGTCTTTCACTTTCTGAACATCACCATCCTGGCAGAGTGTCATGGCTCAGCAGTGCATCCTTTGGGTTGAGCTTGTCAGCTCCATCAGAGAAGCCTAGGAGCTCCGGTTTGTTCACATACTGGCCTGTGGTCGCTAGAATCATTAATGACTATTGCTGTGCATTCACAAGTCTTCTCCCCCAAATCCTGTCACTCTCTTAACTTCTTCATTGTTTGCATCACACTGCTCTATGTTATTTTGAGGTGGAGCTGCAGGTAGAGCTTTGATTCCATCAGCAGCAAGGAGCGGGGAGGGGAGGACCCACCTTGCAGAGGCCCAGTGAGGCAACAGTGCACAAAGTAGGTGCTAGGAAAGGGCAAGCTCCCTCTGGGTTCCTTCAAGTCAAGGTTTTATTTGCAGCCTGTGTGTGTGTGTGTGTGTGTGTGTGTGACCCTTTCCATGAACGGGAGACTCCTGCACTTATAGTGTAGGTGCTAAAAGTGACTGACTCTCAAAGGATCAGCATAGCAGTTTCTTACCTGGAGCCCAGCAAACAGTAGTCACAAGCATGGGAGTGCTGGTGACCCTGGCTGCCATCAGGGACTCTGCACATAGTGGGTTGCAGTGCATGGGAAGAAGCCAGAGCTGAGGGCTCAACACTCTTCACAGGAAGCAGTGAATAAGCCAGCATCCCTTCTCCAGAAAGCCAGCAGGTGCATGTTCTCAATGCTGTCACCTTGACCTACTTAATTATCTATGTGATCAGCAGCAGAAGTGGCTCAGGACCTGAGGATGGGGAGGTTTTACCGACTGACATGCTTACCAAGGGTGTACACTGATGCTCAGGACTCACAGCAGATTGCCTTGCTCACCTGACTGCCTCGCTCCAGCCTCTGTCTCACCCCTGCACACTCCACCTTTACCTGTCCAAAGCGAGAATTGTGGGCTGCTCACCAGACAGCTCCCTGTTGTTAGAGGTACTTTGGACCAGTGCTTCTCAAACTGTAAGGTGCAGATGAATGAATACCTTGGACAAGTCTTCAGGCAGGCTGGTTCAAGAAGCCTGCAGTAGAGCGTGGGATTCTGTATTTTGAGCAGGCCCCATGACGCCAGTGCTGTGGGTTCAGGGCCCACACCTTCAGAAGCAGGGACGTATATGAATTCTTGAGGTTTGTTTTAATTCTGAGATTCTGGGCAAAAGGAGTGAATAAAAAGCCTGTGAGAAAGGCAGGGAGGGGCTGGATGAGCAGGCAGGAGCTGGCTGCAGAAATAACAATGGCCAGGTGTCCGCCCTACTCCCACAGTCCACAGGAGGCAGTGAGATGTATGCTTTTACTTGGGTTCTATTCTGACCCTGTCCCCTGGGATTGCTACATGTGATTTGAGAGGAGAGTGCCCAACTCTCCTGCCCACTCCATGGCAGCATGGGGGTGAAGAGCTGACTAAGCCAGAGGACTCTCTGTGCTCCAACTCCTGCCCAGAACAAGGTAAGAAATTCATGTAGCATGGCTCTGATCATCCTCTGTGACCTTGCAGAGCCAGGCCAGGGCCAGTCTTGACCTTCCCATGCTCCTGGCCCTTTCTCCTCAGCCCAGGCACAAAGCCCCTGCCCCTCGTTTCTTAGGTCACTAAAGCTGGCCTACTCTAAGGATTCTGGAGCCAGGTGGCCTGGGGTCCTGCACCAGAATGAGTGGGAGGAGCCCCTCTACCAGCCTCTCCTCCTCCAGTTCTGGTATTCTGGAGTAGCCAGAATGGGGGAGGGGAAGCCTGGGATTTGTTTTGAAAACTATTAGTACTAATAACTATTTTTTACTTTTTAAAATGCAAAACAGAACAAATAATAAACCCCCATGTGCCTATCATCCAACTAGAACAGTCAATAACTCCTAGGCATTTAAATAGGAAGTAGACGCACCCGGTATAAAATATGTAAGAAGCTGCTGTCTTCCCTGACCCTCTGTCAGGAGCAGCAGCTGACACCTCAAGCCCTGTCCTTTTAATTTTTCTTTTATTTCTTTTACTTTTTTTAGTTTTGGGGTTTGAACTCAGGGCTTTGCACTTGCTAGGCAGGTGCTCTACCACTTGAGCCACACCTCCAGCCCTTTTGCTCTGGTTATTTTGGAGATGGGGGTCTCTCTTTTTGCCCAGGCTGGTCTGGACCATGATCCTCCCAATCTCTTTGTTTCCCAAGTAGCTGGAACATGAACCACTGCATTGGCTTGTTCATAGTTTCTATAAAGTTTAACTCCAGCTCCTGGGCCCCTCCCCAAAGGTCACTGAATGGAGCTGAAAGTTCTAGCCTTCTAATGACTAAGTCTTTGAGATGACCAGCTTTGTTCTGATGCTACATGGAGTCCCAAATCTAAGTCACCTCATTAGCATAAACTCAGGTGTGCTCCAAGGGTCTCCTTATGAATGACAAGACACTCCTACCTCTAGGCAGAGTCCAAGGGAGGAGCCAGGGACAAGACTAAAAGTGTTTCTGACTCTGCTCTGAGGGTCAGCTTTACATAAGGTACCGTGATCTTCTGCAGGGTGTGGCATGAGTCTCCTCATGTAAGTCAAAACATAAGTACCCGTCCTATCCATTTGATTGGACCAAAGTAGGGTCAGGTGTCAACCTGGAAAAGAATGCCATGTGCTTTAGTTAAAGGCCAAGTCCTGGTCCCGTCACGGGGGGAGGGATGGGGTGGCCACCATTGGCTGAGATTCCTCTGAGCCTCTTCCTGGAGCCTGGTGTGGGTTCAGCTTGTGCAGAACCTCAGTGGGTCCTGGAAGGGGCGTGTGAAAAGGGAATGGATGCTGGAGAAGTCACTAACAGTGTCTCCTGTGAGAAGCAAATTCATAAAAATGGTGCCACTTTTGACTACCTCCTCCCTGATTCATGATCCTTTACACAGCTGCCTCTAACCTCTTCTCAAAGACTTGCTGATGATGGAGTCCACACAGTGCATTTTAAAAGTCCTGCAGGAGGGACCACGTGAGGCGAAAGTGTTCCACTGGCCCGACCAGCTGTACCACTCATGCTCAGTAGAAACTGCACTTCAGAGGAAAACCTGAAACCCGATCTGCCACAACCAAGCCCAGAGCAGCTGCTGCTGGCTGGACCCCAGTCCTGTCAGCTGCAAAATCAGGGGCTGGACATGGAGTTTCTCACCCTGCAGATATTTTGTTTTCGTGTTTGTTAACATAGAAGTACATACAGAAGAATGCACATATTATAAAAATATGGCCCAATAGATTTGGGAACATGGGATCAGCAGCCAGATAGACAAATAGAACACGACCAGCACCCAAAGTCCCACTTTCCGGCCCATTCCAGTTAGTTCCAAGGATAGTACTGAACTTGACCTCTAACACTATGGTTTTGCATTCTTTTTATTTTTTAAACTTTATATAAGCTGAATTATATAGTATATACTCTTTGGGGTCTCCTTTCTGTTCTTGGTTTTGTAACTCTATCATAGTACAGTGTGTTTCAGATGGTTTCGTCTCATTACTACATAGCATTCTATCCACGGAGCTGTTTTCAGTGGTGTGCACGTGTGTACCACCTCTGGGAGGCTGAGGAAGGAGGATAGCAAATCCCAGGTCATCCTAAGGTACATAGGGAAACCCTATCCCAGAAGAAGAAGGAGGAAGAGGAGGGAGAGGGGAAGGAGGAGGAGAAGGAATGGTAGGGGGAGGGGGACACAGCTGCTTGGTGAATATTGAGATCAGGCAGGATATATGAATGAATGTGCAAATTTTCTTTGCTTTTTCTTAGGATGCTAGCAACCAGCTGGCATGTTAATTCTGGTTATCACCTAACCTGTGTGTTGTGTGAAAGGAAAAACTAGAAATGTGAATGTCCTATTCCTTGATGCAGGCAGTGTTTTTAGTAGACAAACTCTTTCAAAACAGAATCATAAAGAAAATGAAAACAGGGATGCTGCCTGGTAGAACTATGGGGGCCTTTAATCGATCCTTCGATGGAGTCATTCATTCGTCAAGTGTGTATGCTGAGTGCCAGTTACACACCTAGTCCTCAGTCACTGACTTGGATTTCTCCTTTGTCACACAGCTGATTGGATGTCAACATCTAATGACAAATGAGTAAAGGCAGAAAGAGCTCTGAAATAATTTTCTCTAGAGACTTCTAAACTACATGTGTATGAAGCATTCCTTCCTATGCTAGACACTCGTTCAGCCACTCAGTCTGAGTGACACTCCCAGCCCCTAAAAATCTCTTTTTTTTTTTGCAGTACTGGGGTTTGAACTCAGGATCTCTTGCTCCCTAGGCAAGAGCTCTACCACCTGAGCCACTCTGCCAGCCCTTTCTCCATGGTTATTTTGAGATAGGATCTTGCTTGATTCATATTTATGCTTCTCCAAGTAGCTGGGGTGATAGACATACCACCATGGCTGAAGAGGGTCTCTGAAAATTCCTTTTTTTTTGTGGTACTGGGGTTTGAACTCAGTGCTCACACTTGCTAGGCCGGCACTCTACCACTTGAGCCACTCTGCCAACTGCTTTCCAACATTTTGCCCTGGCTCAATCATCCTGATCTCTGCTTCCAAAGTAGCTAGGATTACAGACTTGAGTCACCAAGCCTGGCCTCCTAAAATACTTTTAAGTGACACTTTTTCTACATAAGGAAAACACACAACCTCCTCCATATCTACCCTTCCACACCTGTGCATGCAAATTCATACCATGTATAGATCTTAAATGAGATTATTTTGTTCTGTATCTATTTTGTCATAGCTTTCATTTAAAAAATGGCTATATTTTATAGAGCAGTTTTGGACTCACAGCATAACTGAATTGAAGGCAGAGTTCTCATGTACCCCATCCTCACTCAGCCTGTACCCTAGAGTTACATGTATTTGTTGTAATTGATGAATGCACAGTGACACCTTGTTATCAACCAAAGTCCAGAGCTGAATTTAGGGTTCAGTGTTCATACTGATGTTGTACGGTTAGGGCAAATGGATGATGACATATATCCACTATTCTAGCAGCTTACTCACCTAAAGATTCTCTGTGTTTGGCCTGCTCCCCTGCTTATCTTTTTACTGACCCCAGTTTTGTTTTTTCAGAATGTCACATAATTGCAATTGTCCAATATATAGCCTTTCAGGTTGACTTCTTTCACTTAGTAAATATTTCATTTTTTACTTCATAATATGTTGTACCTGTGTTTCTGTGTCAGTAACTATCCTAAGGCATTGAAAACTGTCGTGTAACATTTCAGAGTGTGCCATATGGTAACTTCTCTGCTGTTTTGGAGGGTCATAAGGTTTCCCAGTCTTTGCCACTACAAATCATGTGGCAGGGGACAGCCTGGCAGGTAAATATGTCACAGCTTGAGGACACCCTTAGGAGAAATTTCAGGATGTGAGACGGCTCCTACAAAGGGCTTGGCTTTGCCTATTCATTGCTGAATTGCCCAGTACACTCCAACACAGATGACGGAGACACCCATTTCCCAACTCTTCACTGTCATCCAGATTGCAATGTTTTTTTTGCCAATTTAATAGTGGAGACATGATGCTTATTTATATTGATTTGCATTTATGTGAGTATTAATAAGGTTTGATGATTTTCCATACAGCATATTAGCAATTTGTCTGGTTTGTTTTTGTTTTTTTTTTTTTTTGCAGATTGCGTGTTCATGATTTTTTTTTTCATTTTTTTCTAGTGGGACAGGCATCATTATAGTATAGACTAAAAAAGTATTCCTCTATTGGGGTAGTAATAGCTTGTGAAGACCCTACCTCCTTCCCTCCTTCCTTCCTTTTTTTCCTCCCTTCCTTCCTTTCTTCCTCCTTTTGCAGTGCTGGCTGGGGATTGAACCCAGGGCCTCATGCTCACTATACAAGCGCTCTGCCACACGGCTACATCCCCATCCTGGCTCTATCTTTTAATGTTAATTTTTTTCTTGTTTTTAATGAATCCACAACCATGTCTTCTATACTTTTTCTTTTGGCAGAACTCAGGACTTGAGCTTGCTAGGCAGGCACTCTGCCACTTAAGCCACATTCCTAGCCCTTTTTCCTTCAGTTATTTTTTCAGACAGGGTCATGCTTTTTGCCCAGGGCTGCCTTTGAATGGCAATTCTCCTACCTATGACCTGTGGTGTAGGTGGGATGACAGGCATAAGTTACTGTGCCTGGCTACTTTTTTTTGAGACGGCATCTTGTAATGTTCCCCAGATTGGCCGTGAACTTACCATTCTCCTCCTTAGCCTCCCAAGTAGCTGAGATTTACAGGTGAGCACCACCACCAAGCCTGTCCAGCTTAGTATAGTTTTAAATAACAATAAAGTGACTGATAATAATAACTAATGTTTACAGAGTGCTTATACTAGGCTAGGCATTATGCTACGAAAAACACCCCTGTGAGATAGGGTCTGATATCAGTTCTATTGGACAAATCGTTAATTTTCCCAACATCACACAGCTTTTGAGTGGCTGTGCTGGTATCCACTGATGGACAAGTTATACAGTGGCATAGGACTTTCATGAATTCAATAACAATTTTAATAAATTTACCTATCATGTATCACAAAAGTATCTACATACATTTGCAAATCTGTCTTACATGTAAGTTCAAGACACATAATTTATTCTGTATAAGCAGGGATTGTTGTGTATAGCAACTCAACTACCTCCTGTAATAATTCTAAGACCTTCCCATCCCCACCCCCAGCCCCCTGTTTACTGTTAAGAACCATTAACTGTCTGAGTGCTCATGACTCACACATGTATTCGTAGCTACTTGGGAGGCTGAGATCGGGAGGATTGTTGTTCAAGGCCAGCCAGGGCAATAGTTCTCAAGATTCCATCTCAAAATAACCACAGGAAAATGGACTGGAGGTGTGGCTCAAGTGATAAGAGCATCTGCTTTTCAAGTATGAAGCCCTGAGTTCAAATCCCAGTTCCTCCCCCTCCAATAAAAAAGAACCATTAGTTGGATGCCTTTTTTTTTTTAGGAAGGGGAAAGTGAAGTTTAGCACAAAGCCAGAACTTTCTCAGGGTTACCTAACATGTTTATGATCCAACAAAGACCGAGACCCTGGGCTGGAGATTCCCAGCCCAGGTCTGTGGGTTAGTGGCCTGGGCCAGCCCCTAACCTTATGCCCTTTTCTTATCTGAGGGGACAACAGAGGATGCAGTGGTGGGTACCAGAAAGACTTGCCAGACTCTCTTGGTGCCAAGCTTTAGGGAAACCAAGTAAGCACAGACTCCTGGTCCCTGGTCTTCTGGTTGCCAGGCATTCCAGGATCCTGGCCCCCTGACAAGAGTGAAAGCAGAGCTACAGGCCCCTGGGCTGCTCTCCACTCCCTTCTCCTGGGTTTGCATCTCATTACTGGGGTTGCAACAGGCTTAATCTCTGCCTGTGCAGACTCAGAGGAGCCAGAGAGAGGAGCACAGCCAGCCTCTTGGAGTCCTCCACAGGGCTGCCCACCACTCATCCCCAAGCCCTTCACTGGGCTGGAACAGTATGCAAGAAAGCGTGCTGGTGCTTCTCCTGGCCCAGTCCTGGTGACACTCATTGACATGGACCCAGTGCAGGACACTAGCCCATGTTCTCTCTCCACAGAGGGAAGTTCCTTTGGTCCTCTCCTTCCCTGCTCTCCTGCCTTCAGTGCAGATGCAGAGACTGTTTCAAAGTAAAAGTGTCTGTGGTCCACTTCAGAGTTGGAATGCATATCAGGCTATAGTGAGGCTTAGTCCTGGCACTCCAGGCAGCTGGCTCTTCAAGAATGAAGAGAACTGAATTGGACATGTAGTCAATAAATAGGTGTCAAATGATGAGAACATCGAAAGCTCAATCATGAACCATCTTGTAACAGATTTTGGTATGATTGGTGCCACTCTTCCTCTATGAGGCCTTTGACATGCTCTAGTTGTTTTCTTTTTTTTTCTCTCCCCTCCTGCACTCCCCCCCCTCACCCCTTTCTTTCTCTTGAGTTGCTTTGAGACAAGGCCTCACTATGTAGCCCAAGCTGGTCTTGGACTCTGCCTCCCAAAGTGCTGAATTACAGGTGTGCATCACCACACCCAGCTCTGTTTCTTAACTGCCCTATTTAGAACAGGTTGAGTATTCCTAATCTAAACATACAAAATCTAAATGCTTTGAAATCTGAAACTTTTTGAACACTGGTATGACACTCAAAAACTTTCAAATTTTGGAGCATTTCAGATTTTGAACTTTGGGATATTTGGGATATTCAACTTGTAAAGGCTATGCAAGCATTCCACAGTCTGAAAAACTCCTCACCCAGTCTAACACAACTCTGGTCCCATGTGTTTTGGATAAGGGATTCTCAACTCGTGTGTGCTGTGCAGATCTTTCAGGTGATGGGGTTCGGTGTAAATGAGAAGAAAAGAAAGCACGGTGGGGCCCACAGATGTCTTCACTATGAGGGAGGAGATGGTTTGCTGGGGGCCATGTGAGATTTATGACTCTTTTTCTCAGTACCATTCTCTGTCTCTCTTTCCCTCCTCATCTTCTTCCCCACCCCCTTCCTTATTTTTTGTTCTCTTCCTTTCCATCCTTCATCCTCTTCTTATCTCCTACTTTGCCTCTTTACTTGCCCTGTCATCTCTCTTCCCTCCATCCCGTCCATCCTCTCCTCTCTTCCTCCTTGTCACCCCCTTCCCTCTGGATAGAAAGGGTAATATTAATGTACCTTACAGATCAGTGGCATTGGACTCCTCTTGAGGCCCTGCTTCAGCCTTTATTCTGTTTATTCCTTATGGGAGTAACCTGGCAATTATTATTTTCATCTTACCAATGAAGACTCTGAGACCTAGAGTATTAAGGTGATGTGTCACCATACTCATACTTTGCAATGAGTTGTCTGAATCCGGCTGCAAGCCTCGTAGTCTAATTCCACCAAGTCTCCAAACTCTGCACTTGCCTTCAATGCCTCCTCTCCTGCCTTTCTTCCACCTGCCTTGCCTGGTGAGATGGCTGGGGAGAGCTGGCCTGGGGAAGAGGATTCCAAACCATAACCTGCCCACAGCATCCTTCCTTCTGAGTTCTCTCATCGAGTTGAGGTTCTTTGCAGGGCCAGTGGGACACAGTGGACAGGCACATGTGTTATTTAATCATTAATTCACTTAGCAAATATTGATTGACAGCCATGCTGTGTGTGGGGCGAGGCTGAGACTAGTGTGAGACAAGCAAGAAACTAAGGCGCAAAATTTAAGGAGGCTCTCGTTCTTATGGGTCAGTGCTGCCAGTGCCCGGTCCTGAGGTTGAGTCAATTCATTGACTGCAAGGGCTCTCTACCTTGCAGACTGCACTTTCTTGCTTG